AAAGGGGAACGGATTATTGCCCCGCAAATGCGGGACCGGAAATAGTTATTGGCGGATGAATTTGTCAGTCCATGATTGCTCCAGGTTAGATGTGCGCAACAGGTATAATCCCGTCGTGATGCCAGGCGCCTGTACAGTATTCAGTCCATTGACAAGCTTTCCCTTGCTGACGGTCTTACCATTCATGTCAACGATGATGTACTCGTAGTTGCCAGGGCTGGTGATCGTCACTTCGCTGGAATGAATTAGTGTTGATACGAGTTTTGGCCGCGGAGCATTTGGATCATTACGAATGGTAATGATATTGGAATAATATTCATGTCCATTGTCGAATGTTACATGCAGCCTGTATTGCGCGCTTAATGGAGTCGAGGGCCGGTAAGCGTACATCCTGTCAGCAGCAGGTGACTGAACCAATGGCTGAAAAGTTCTGTTGTCAACTGAAATTTCAAGAACCTGTGATACGAGTTGCTCATCGGCCTCGATCGTCCAGCTTAACGAATGCCTGTCGCCTTCCATAGCGCCGCGTAGTTCAAGTTTGCGGATGGGTAATACACTGCCAGGAGTGGTTGTTCCCTGCAGGGAATAAGACCCAAGGCTTGCATAATTCGGAGCATATAGATTTCCTTTTCCTTCAACACGGATATAGTAAACACCGGGGTTGAGCGAGGTATCGACAACGGAGCTAAGCAAGGTGCCGGGATTATATACATTCAGCACATTCTGTGAGCCGTTAATGAGGGATACCTGCAAATCAAGATCGGATCCGGTATTGCCAGTGCCCACATTATAAGGAATGGCATTAAGCTCAAACCTGCCGAAGGCGGGCATGGTGAATTTAAAAAGATCGATATCGGTATTTTTCTCAATAATACCACTGGAAGTAAAAGTGTTATTAGTGATGGCTGCAACAGTAGCATTTGAGAAGTCATTGCTGTGATCATCATTACGGTATCCGAAACCGTTGGTGACTGAGGTGATGATATCAAGATCACTTTGGAAGTTAGAACAACCATAGGAGTTTGGTCCATTATTCCAAAGAGTCATGTTGCGATAGTAGCCTACGCCCATGATAGGAGCCCAGCCGATTTCACCCGCACCGGTGCCCGCATTATAGTCGGTTAGCTTGGTACAGTTTGCATCATAGGAAGCCTGGTGATATAAGCCAAGGGTATGGCCTGCTTCGTGTGAGGCGGCTTCAGAAATATTTTTAACGTTGTAATTGAGCAGAGCTGAAAATACAAAGCAGGG